GTTTGGATCAGAAATTGGCTAGCTGTAAGAAGACAGAGGGTGGTGGTTGATGGGAAATGTTCATCCTGGAGTTCAGTTACTAGTGGTGTACCTCAAGGATCTGTTTTGGGGCCACTGCTGTTTGTCATTTTTATAAATGACCTGGATGAGGGCGTAGAAGGATGGGTTAGTAAATTTGCGGATGACACCAAAGTCGGTGGAGTTGTGGATAGTGCGGAAGGATGTTGCAGGTTACAGAGGGACATAGATAAGCTGCAGAGCTGGGCTGAGAGGTGGCAAATGGAGTTTAATGCGGAAAAGTGTGAGGTGATTCAGTTTGGAAGGAGTAACAGGAATACAGAGTACTGGGCTAATGGTAAGATTATGGGTAGTGTGGATGAGCAGAAAGATCTCGGTGTCCATGTGCATAGATCACTGAAAGTTGCCACCCAGGTTGATAGCGTTGTTAAGAAGGCGTACAGTATGTTAGGTTTTATTGGTAGAGGGATTGAGTTTCGGAGCCATGAGGTCATGTTGCAGCTGTACAAAACTCTGGTGTGGCCGCACTTGGAGTATTGCGTACAGTTCTGGTCACCGCATTATAGGAAGGATGTGGAAGCATTGGAAAGGGTGCAGAGGAGATTTACCAGGATGTTGCCTGGTATGGAGGGAAGGTCTTATGAGGAAAGGCTGAGGGTCTTGAGGCTGTTTTCGTTAGAGAGAAGAAGGTTAAGAGGTGACTTGATAGAGACATACAAGATGATCAGAGGATTAGATAGGGTGGACAGTGGGAGCCTTTTTCCTCGGATGGTGATGGCTAGCACGAGGGGACATAGCTTTAAATTGAGGGGTGATAGATATAGAACAGATGTCAGAGGTAGGTTCTTTACTCAGAGAGTAGTAAGGGCGTGGAATGCCCTGCCTGCAAAAATAGTAGACTCACCCACTTTAAGGGCATTTAAATGGTCATTGGATAAACATATGGATGGTAATGGAATAGTTTAGGTTAGATGGGCTTCAGATTGGTTTCACAGGTCGGCGCAACATCGAGGGCCGAAGGGCCTGTACTGCGCTGTAATGTTCTATGTTCTATGTTCTAAATACCCTGCTGCATAACGTGGTGCCCTCCTCCTGTCACCTTCTACAAAGAGAATCTCCCACCTTAATACCTTAGCATCAGCATGGTGGTGGCCACCATAAGGAGTCTGAATGAGAAAACTTCAGTTCTCACTTCCCACCTCCTTAAAGAAAATTCAGCCTATAGTCTGTCTTTTAATTCTCATCAGCACTGAGACTCTGAGGCACAAAATTAACATTGTAGAAAGATAGAGGTTAGGAGCAGGAGTAGACCATTCAAGCCTTGGAGAATTGCTCCGCCATTCAATATGATCATAGAAAATTCATCACAAATTCAATATTCAACATGGTGCTCTTCTATTTGTGATTTTTGAAAATGATTTGGATGAAGGAGTGGAAGGGTGGTTTAGTAAGTTTGCGGACGATACGAAGGTGGGTCGAGTTGTGGATAGTGCGGAGGGCTGTTCTAGGTTACAAAGGGACATCGATAGAATGCAGAGCTGGGCTGAGAAGCGGCAGATGGAGTTTAACCCTGAAAAGTGTGAGGTGATTCATTTTGGAAGGACAAACTTGAAAGCAGAATACAGGGTTAACGGAAAGATTCTCGGCAGTGTGGAGGAGCACAGGGATCTTGGAGTTCATGTCCACAGTTCCCTGAAAGCTGCCACCCAGGCAGATAGAGTTGTTAAGAAGGCGAATGGTGTGTTAGCTTTCATTAATAGAGGGATTGAGTTCAAGAGCCATGAAGTTATGCTCCAGCTATACAAAACCCTGGTTCGGCCACATCTAGAGTGTTGTGTTCAGTTCTGGTCGCCTCATAACAGGAAAGATGTGGAAACTTTGGAAAAGGTACAGAGGAGATTTACCAGGATGTTGTCTGGAATGGAGGGAATGTCTTACGAGGAAAGGTTGAGAGAGCTAGGGCTTTTCTCATTAGAAGACGAAGGATGAAAGGTGACTTGATAGAGGTGTACAAAATGATCAGGGGTATAGATAGAGTGGACAGCCAGAGACTTTTTCCTAGGGTGGAGGTAGATATTACGAGGGGGCATAGTTTTAAAGTGAGTGGAGGTAGATATAGGGGAGACGTCAGAGGTAGGTTCTTTACTCAGAGAGTAGTAGGGACGTGGAATGCATTGCTGGACAGGGTAGTGGAGTCAGCCTCATTAGGGGCATTTAAGCGGCTATTAGATAGGCATATGGATGATCGTATAAGGAAGGGGTGGAGGTTAGATAGACCTTAGGATAAGGGTAAAAGTTTGGCACAACATCGTGGGCCGAAGGGCCTGCGATAGGGTTAGGGTTATGTCTATACCACCTTTATTTAAACAATTTTAATATTTCACAGTAATTCATTTTATTGGTAATAAAATTGGAAGATGACATTGAAACATTTAGGTCCAAGAGGGCAGCAGAGTAGGACTCCTGAGCCAGAGCTCATTCACTCTGACTGTTTTTCTTTCTTTTCTCGCTTTTGTCTTTTTTTTTAGTTTTTCTTTTCTCTACATACCTTCTGGAGGGAGCTCTGTCATGGAGGCAGTGGCAGCAACTCTGACAGTCAGCTGCATCGCACCTTCTTTGAGGTCCAGAGTGAGACACCGGTGGGAGTGCAGGAGCAGGCAGACCGAGGCGGCTGGCAGCGAGAGCAGGAGCAAACAACCCAGTGCGGCCAGTGGCCAGAGCAACAGCAGGCAGCTCGGGGCGGCCAGTGGCAACAACGGGAACAGGCAGCCCAGGGTGGCCACGTGAGAGTGGGAACAGGCAGCCCGAGACAACAGCAGGAGCAGAAACAAACTTCCTTTGGCGGCAGCAGTGTCAGGTAGAGGCTTCAAGGTGACTAGAAGAGGCATCCCAGGTTGGCAGCGAGGGCAAGGGTTAAACCTGATGCAGGGGAGTTCGAGCCCTTGAGAGGCATGTGAGCCCAGGATGGCCAGATGCTATGGACTGGGGTGTTGAACTGTTAACTGTTTTTCCACTTTTTAGTAAGAAGGACTGTAATGTTTAACTTTTTAACTTTGTTTTCCTTATTTTTATGCTTTGTACCTAAGATTCTGTATCTAGATACCTTTATACCCAAGATAAGTGGTGATATGTAAACTTTCCACTGTACTCATGTGGGTACATGTGACAATAAGCCCAATTCAATTCATTTCATGCATAATTTAATCAATTGCACCTCTTGGACGTTAACATTCACCTGCCCTTAGCAACACCCCAATACGCAATGATGATCTGATCCTTCTGGGGGGAGTGACCGTTTGCTGCACAGAGTCTGGCATTGTTAAAGGGACCGTCTCTATTCAGTGAACATCTCTTAGATACAAAATTGGAATCCCAGCAGCTTTCCCCCCACCCCACCAGAAGTGCGCCTTCCCCTTTAAATATCCCTTTAAGAGATTACCATTAAGTTGGGCGGGCTCCGCGGGGACGCACGCGCATGCTCAGTGCCGCTGGATCGGCGCGCGCTGTTTTGAAAGTTGTTCGGTTTGGTTGCGACAGTCGCTGCTGACGGGCTTCTGTGCGTTTAATTCGGTTAGTGTGAGAGAATGGCTCAACATTTCGGGCGGTTGAAAGTGGGGCTGATTGTAAAAATTCAGCGTAGCAATGGTAAGGAATTCTTCACTTTTTAGGCGACGTGAGTATGACGCGTGCTAAAACTAAACAGGCTGACCTCTTCCGTTTTAAAGTGGGGTGGGCTTGGACTCTTTCCCCATGTTCGAGTCATGGTACCCAAAGAGTGTTTTATCACCGTTTTTCGTTTGCACTAGATTAGTTGGTGGGGGGTGGGTTAAAATAATCGAAACGAACAAAACGGTGTGTAGGATGCGGCAGCGCACATGCGCATTGTTGCGGGGGTTTTTTTTGAATTAACCCGCCATGGGGATGTCACCGAACTCTGGTCCGGCTGCCCGGTGCTGATTGGGTGCTTCGGGCATAGTGACGTAGGTACCGACACGCTATTGGGCAGTGATTGCCTATTGATCATATTAACAGTTTGAATGGGTAGCGTGGGCCACCGAATGAGGGGATACTGTCATGATAAGTGAGAGACGGTCGGCGGATTCTTCAACTTTGCACACTAATTACTTTAAATCAATGCAAACGTGAAGTACACTAGCCTTCTCAATCTCGAAATAAAAGCGAAATGCTTAACATGTGCCAACTTCTACATCACGGTAGTGATTGCGCAAATTGTTTGCAAAACACTTTCAGACGTGTGGTTATGAACAGCGCAATGTCATTTTCAGTCTGAAAATAGCCAATTTGACTTGCGACTAATGTAACTGGTTGCTTTTTTTGCAGATAGTTCCTGTAGCTCGTGATAATTTAAGATTTCCTTTTAAAGGAGCAATTTGGCCCTTAATTCACAACTGCGTAAAACGTTTGCTTTGATTTTAGCTCTTACTGGGGGAAGGGGTAAATCCCAGAAGTATTACGGAGCTAAGGGCTGCCATTGGCCCAACGCGCCTGCGTCGGCCCTTCAATCGAACCTCATCAACTCGTGCCAATCTCCTGGTTCCCACCCACCCACACCCTTGGGCACTATTTCTGTCCAAATAACAGTCATTCAATGCACTCCTAAAAAAACTCAATTGAACATGCCTCCACCACACATCCAGGCAGTACATTCATACCCTAACTACTGGCTGAGTGAAGAAGTTTTTTTCACCTATCAAGCTTGCTTCTTTTGCACGTCATTTTAAATCTGTCCTGTTCTTTTTCATTTTGAGTGGTAACAGCTTCTCCCTATTTACAGCTGTTCACGTTATACCTTAACAGAAGGACTGTGGGCATTGTTGCAGTTTTGCAGATGGCTCCAAGGTAATGGAGAGGCAAATGGTGTTGATGATGTAGGGAGTTGCAGAAGGATTTGGTCATGCCAGGAGATAGGGCAAAGAAGTGATAGATGGAATAAATATTGCAAATTTTTGGGAGGAAGAATTAAGGTGTAGAGTGACTTCTAAATGGGCAACAGCTTTGGAAATCTGAAGCTCAAAGGAACTTAGGGGTCCTAGATCTCTTAAGGCTAACATGCAGGTTCAGTTGGCAGTTCAAAAAGCAAATGCAATGTTATTATTCATTTTGACAGGGCTAGAATATGAGAGCAGGGATGTACTGCTAAGTCTGTATAAGGCTCTGGTCAGATGTCATTTGGAATATTGTGGGCAATTTTGGGTCCCATGTTAACGAACAACGTGCTGGTGTTGGGGGGGGTGGTGGGAAAATCCAGAGGAGGTTCACAATGATCCTAGGACTGAAGGGCTTGTCATGTGGAAGAGTGGAGTTTAGAGGCATGGGAGGGATCTCGTTGAAACTTGCAGGACACAGGGAGGCCTAGATGTAGAGTGGATGTGAAGAAGATCTTTCCATGTTAAGAAAGATTACGGCCTGAGGGCACAGCCTCAGTGTGAATGGGCAACCCATCAGAATTAAGGAATTTCTTCAGCCAGAGGCTGGTGAATCTGTGGCATTCATTGCCTCTGGAGGCCAAGTCATTGAGCGGTTTTTAAGACAGACAGGTTCATGACTTAACAGGATCAAGAGTCACAGGGTGAAGGCAGGGGAATGGGGTTAAGAAACACATCAGCCATGATCAAATGGTGGAGCAGACTCAATAAATTGGCCTATTTCTGCTCCAGCTTTTTCATGATTTTGTAAATCTCTACCAAATCCCCCCCCTCCCCCCAACCTTCTCTGCGAGGACAGTCCCAATTTCAATCAACCCACAACTGATGTTTCTCATTCTAGGAACTAACCTCTTAAATCACTATTGTACAGAGTCATAGAGATGTACAGCACAGAAACAGCCCCTTTGGTCCAACCTGTCTACGTTGACCAGTTTTCTACATTAACCTAATCCTGTTTGCCAGCATTTGGCCCTCTTAAACCCTTCCTGTTCATATAGCCATCCAGATGCCTTTTAAACGTTGTAATTGTACCAACCTCCTCCCCGGCAGCTCATTCCATACATGGACCAACCTCTGCATGAAAATGTTGCCCCTTGGGTCCCTTTTAATCTTTTTCCCTCCTCTCACACCTTAAACTTATGCTTTCTAGTTTGGACTCCCCTACCCTGGGGAAAAGACCTTGACTATTCACCCTACCTATGCCCCTCATGATTTTATAAACTTCTAAAAGGTCACCCCTCGTCTCTAACACTCCAGGGAAAATAGCCCCAGTCTCTTCAGCCTCTCCCTATAGCTCAAACCCTCCAACCCTGGCAGCATCCTTGTACATTTCTTTGAACCCTTTCAAAGTTTCTCAATCTTTCCTATAGCAGGGAGACCAGAATTGAATGCAGTATTCCAAAAATGGCCTAACCAATGTTCTGTCCAGCTGCAACATGACCTCCCAACTCCTATACTCAATGCACTGACCTATAAAAGCGAGTGTGCCAAATGCTGCCTTTCCTACCCTGCCTACCTGTGACTCCACCCCAAGGCCTCTTTGTTCGGCAACTTTTTGTATATAAGTACTGCCCTACCAAAATGCAGCGCCTCACATTTATGTAAATTATACTCCATCTGCCACTCTTCTGCGCATCTGGTCAAGGTCACATCACCAAAAAAAAGTGGCACCCCCAATGATCAGCAATATTCTAGCTGAACTTGAACAAGTGTCTTATACAAGTTCAATATCATCTCCTCACTATATGCACCTACTAATAAAGCCAAGGACACTGTATGCTTTATTAGTTGCTTTCTCCACTTGACCTGCCAGCTTCAATGATGTGTGCACATTCAATAAGATTGTGGCCAATCTGATTTTTAACCTCAACTCAGATTCAGGGAAATGCAGGAATCTTTCATCCCTTTAGTTATCTGCCTTTATTTAAAGATTCTGCATCCACTGCCTTTGATGAGAATTCTGAAGACACCCAACCATCTGAGTGAAATGTATTTTCCTCATTTCTGTCTTAAATGGGTGACCCCTTTTTTTGTTTAAACAATGAAGATTGTGAGCAAGAACGTAATAATTGTGTGATGGTGTTGAATTCTGGCAACCAGTAGTTAGACACCCAAATGTCTCAGTGCATTAGAGAACAATGCATACTTCTCCAGGTGGGCATAAGGTCACCAGATCAGGATGAGTTGTCAAACTTACAAAGCATGTGTTGAACTTTTGAATAATTAATCTTGTAACCTCTTCAGTTGCTTGTTTAACTATTGAATTGATGACACATTCGTATAAATATTTGGGTTTTTTCTTTAGAAAATGGGAATATTGCAATCAGTACATGCTCTAACTCATGGAATGTGGCTTTCCCGGGCACTGGAGTTTATTGCCCTTGACTAGGTGGTGGTCAGTTTTAAGAGACAAGCTCCTGATATCATCTCTGTACCATAACTTGTCTCCTGACAACGTGAAGACCCCTTATGCTGTCTTGCTTGGGATCACTTGAAGCATCGCATACTACATTAAGCATGCCCCACTGTTATAACCTAATAACTTACTTTTAGACCAGACACAATATATAGCTAATTGTAATAAAGTCTGAATTCTTCAATACCACAATATCCATGCCCAGCTTATGCCACAAAGGATCTTGCTGTCGTTCTCTCATCCCCATCTTCATGTTGACTTCCACGTAGAAGCAGTACTGTCCTAAATCAGGCAAGGTTGGCGGGAGCAATGCTAGGCAACCTAAAATTGAGGTGTAAATCTGAAAAAGCAACTGTTTGGCCATATGGTTGCTAAGTAGCATGCAATGTAGTTTAATTCATTCCAAAATAGCTGAAAGAATTGCTTTGGTCCTGACAAAATCCCTGCAGTTAATGAAGACTTATTATCTTTTAACTGTACTGGGATATTACAGCTAGTTAAACACAATTATCTACCCAACAATGTGAAAAATTGACCAGATCTGTTATGATATACAAAGGTCAAATCCAATTGGGATCAGTTAATGCATCAGCCATCTTTTATTGATCATCTATTTTGTAACAGTAAGTGTCATGATGTCTGCCAAACCAAAATCAGCAAGCTATCAATATGTTCTTCACCCGAACGTTGATGAAAAAAGACAGGTGACACTTTTATAACCATTGACATCAAGACAACTTTTTGACTGAAAGCTGTTCCTAGAACATCAGCCCTAGAAAGATTGACTCTGCTAGAACTCTGGTGAGATGGCTCAGGGAGTTGAAGTTTCAAGTTAAGCCTATCCCAAAGGAAGATGATTGGCCAATCATCATTGCAAGAGTTTCTTAGAATAATTAAGTCAACCTGCTCGGACATGACTTGCCTCTGGACTAAGTGCCATTTGAGCTCTGACCCCCCAGGCCCATAATAAATAGGGATGCTACCACTGTGCCACAACAGCCCTAAATTCCTCAGAATTGATTAGAAATATCTATCTGTACAGGGATATTAGAAGACCTCTCTAGAGCAGGTCAGACTTTAACCCTGGTTCTCTGGCTCAGAGGTGGGGACACTCTCTCTCTGCCGCAAGAGCCTTGTAGATGAATGCAGATATGTTTTCTGTATCAACCTGTTCAGAGATATTATTACATACCTCTGGGGTCGGTGGGGCTTGAACTCGGAATTTCTGGCTCAAGCAGGGACTGCACCACAGGGCGTTTAGGTTCCTCGGCACTTATTTTAAACAACCCGTTCAGACATGTTATGAAGCAACCAGAGCAAGTGTGACTTGAACCCGGACCTCCTGGCTCGGAGATTTTAAATGGTCCAGCTCTAAACGATTTCTTTTCAGTATTGGATCTGAAACTGAAATCATAGTGCGCTTTCTTTCATAAATATTGCCAGGTTTTTCTGCAAGATATTGGAAAATACAAACTGCCTTGCTTTTACATTTAAAGTAATCTTCTAGAGATTGACATAATGGATTCATTTTTTAAAAACCATTGTAGTGTGGATTTCATTAAATTCCAACCACTAATTGCAACACCCATTAGCTGTTCTAGTTTTGGAGACTTAATTTGCTGAGACCCTAAAACTACTTGTACTTTCGCATTTATTTTGGGGACTTTAACTACAAATGGTAGTCAAGCTGTTTTATGATGTCACAATAGCTTCCTTGTAATGATGTGAAGATTATGTAGGTTGTGTTGTCAGTCTGCACCTGTCATCCATCATTTTGTAATGCAAGCTTGAACTTTTTTCAATATCTTCTTGACTAGCTAAAATCTTTTTGAAACCTTGGTAAGTGGCTTTCTAGAATGAGTGGGAATACTAATAAAATTTGTGACAATTTGTCTGTGTGCAAAGCTATTCTAATATTCATTCCAGGGCTAATTTATTAAGGCATAATTTTAAATTTCCAGTCTGAGTGGATTGAGTTTTGAAGCAAAGTTTTCCAAATTAGTTTACATGTTGAACACACATGTTGACCTGAGTTAGTGTTAACCAGACCATGTTGGAAATGATTGTCAACCTTCTGCATTTGTAGTCCAAATGAAAACATGACTTGAAATGTGATTTTTCTTCTTTTTTTTTTTTTTTTTTCCCCTGCTTGTAAAACAGTTGCACTATCCTCCAAGAGGAATTGCTTTTAGTTGGCTGGACCTCAGAATGGCGTGGAATTGAATTGTTTGTATTCTTGCTTTTAAAGAAATAGTTTAATGTAACATTCCTAAGCAATGGTGTGCATAGTACTAGTAAATTGTACCAATTAACCACTATATAGAAAGGAAAAGTGTCTAAAGTTTTAAGTTTCAAATCTTCAATTGCTTCGCAAGCCTGTAAAGATTTCTCAATGAAGATGTCTTGAGTGGTAGAGACTTCATGGGCAGAATGGCCTTTTTAGTACTGTATGGTTCTGTGACCATATTCTTCCTAATGTTCTGAATATGCTGCTTGTGGTAGAGGATTATACACAGAAAATCCAGCTCTTGCAATAAAAATGTGACCATGATATGGCACTTGGACACTCCTTAGTTTAGGCTGTTGATAAACTTTTGCTTATTTTTGTTATAAGATTGTAACTAAAATTTTGAAGTGATTTAACTCAGTACAGCGAGCTTTGTTTTAGCCAGCATCTTTATGACTGGCAATCTCAATAAACCGGCAAAAAAATATACCTTAAACATTGAAGTTTACTGTATTATTCTGTCCAATTATTATAGCTTTCTAACTTATTTAACTCAACTCAATGAAAGTATACTTGTTAAATTTATACGGCCACACAAAGTATCAACAGTTGATTCAATTTTGTCAATTTCTCCTCAAATGTTGTGAGAAACACTGTCTGAGTAGTCAGTTGAGGGGTTGTTAGAATGCTCTCTGCTGGTTAAGTTTTTGTTTTGAAGCAAAGTTGTATTATTTGAGTGATTTACGCTGTAAATGTATAACGGTGATGTGTATGCCCTCGGCACTGCATTTCTATTACTTCGTGTCTTTTGCATTTGGTTATCTTCAAATATTGAATCAACTGGCACAGTCCTAATCCCCGTGGGTACTGGTTAATAAAATTTGCTGCATTTACATTGAATTAACTGAAAATATTGTCAGATGATATTGGAATCCTTATTTGGACAGATTTGTTACAGTTGATGACTGAACTGCAGCTTCTTATAACCCACAAATTAGAGGGAAAATCTTTTCCGTCATCTATAAATTGTAATACCACATAACTCAAGTGAATAGGAAAATAAGCTTGTCCATCATATATAAATTTTAATTTCACATGAAGTTTGCATGAAGTCTGATTTTACTTGACATCCACTGATATCACGTAGGTAACAAATCAGCTAACTGTATCATTGATCTTTTTACTTATTTTCTTTCTCCAAAGTAAGAGTGCACTAGAAATTGGGAATATTTTTGCATTTCTGTAACAAAAGTGCTGTTGAGTTCTTGTTGTTGGTTGTACATAGTCCATCCATGCATTTGGATAAGTTTGTTTATGGTATTGGATGTATACTAAGATTTTTTTAGAACTACATGTTTTTAAGAACTGTCTATTACATTTTAGTTATCCATATCTTCAAAATTTTTTTTATAACATAGGCTTTGGGGATAAATCTGCATATAGGAAGTGTTGCCTGGAGTAGGGGAGAGGAAGATAGCTATTTCGATTACCTTGTAGTTCACTTTCAATTTATTAGCTCAGTTTCTCTTTTTCATAGGGATGATACAAGATGCAAGTATAACTGAATTGTTTACAGATAAGTCCTGTGTAAGAGCTGAGTGGCTAGAAGACACCGTAAGTAAGGCCAAAGAGGTAAGGATGTCTTCTATAAATGCAAGCTTTGAATTGTATCCTAGTTCGAAGGAGACTCTGATGGTCTAGATGAATATTTCATCATAAATAGCTAGACTCTTGCTGTTTAAACTGAAACTATAAACTATTATGATGCAGGTTGTCCATCACTGACTTTATTTTACATGTAAACTTATGAAAATCATATTGGTATTTAAAGTTTGATAATGAAACAGTCTATCACTTTCCCTCAAGAATACTTCCTTCCAAGTATGTAAGGCCTGGCTTCTGATTTGCCTGCCTAACTCACTATTACATTCAAAAATCTCAAGTGATTTTATTATTTGGTATTTGAATTTAAAATCCCTTAAACTAAAGTGGATGTGCTGTGGACTTCTTAATTGTCCATCATATATAAATTTTAATTTCACATGAAGTTTGCATGAAGTCTGATTTTACTTGACATCCACTGATATCACGTAGGTAACAAATCAGCTAACTGTATCATTGATCTTTTTACTTAAAAAGAATGTGAACTACTGGGCTAGACTTTCCTAATTGCTAGTTGAAAAGCTCAATTTACAGGAGCTTGGTATTTTTTTCTACTTCCAAGAGATATCCTATAGCATTTGTGGGAGTGACAGTTTCGTATCATGTTATGGATGGTACGAAACGGGGTTGAGGTAGACCAAATTCCCTTAGCATGGAATCCTTGCAGCCAATAAATAAGGGAAATTTTCTATCTTTTTTTGGATTGAATTCAAATGTCCATAATAAAATTCTAGTAGCTAATACAGTTTCCCATGCATTAAGTGAATTTTTCAGGTAATTTCAGCAGGATGGGTTTGATGGTGAAGTAGCCCAGTGAAGTAGTTTTTCAAGCTAAGAGTTTTTGAACAGTAAAGGAATTAAGGGCTATGGTGAGAGATTGTCAGTGGAGCTAAGGCCACAAAGATTAGACATGATCTTCTTGAATGGCAAACTGGGCTCGAAGGGCCAGATGGCCCACTCCTGCTCTGGGTTTTTTAATGGTAAAAGAATAAGCTAACTGACTTATTAAATCACAAGACTGATTTTCCAATGTGCTTCACTTTTGCAAAAGAACTGTTTTTAAGGAGCAGTAATGTTTTTCATAATGTGTTTAATAAAAGCTTTTTTTGTGTTGATGCAAATTAGTTCTCTTCTTTACTTTTTTAGATTGACATTGAAAGCTTACTGTTGTTAAATCCTAACTTAGCAGAGAAAATGCCACCTTCAAACCTGCCACGAAGAAACTCCAGGGTAAGATTTAACTGCTTGGCTCTCGACTTCTTATTCACAGATAACTAATGTATTTCCCATTCTTGGAGCAATCATTAAACCAATAGTTGACAAATGGCAAGAAGTAAGTTGTATATAGAAGAAAAGCAGCCATCCCCCATTGCAGTAGATCTGAGCTGATCACTAAATCAACTCCATTTAATACCATTTTATTACTCCCTTCTATCACAGTATGTCATAATTCATTACTGCACTATTTCCCAATTTTAGGCTGTAGCAAAAAGTATTGTGCCAATACAGTGCAAATTTACATAACTAAAAGAATACTTGTGGGCAATATAAAAGGAAATGCTGCTGTAAAATAAGTGAAAAATTTGTGCAGGAATTAAAATGGGGATTTTTGTTTGTTTCTAATCTGTTAAGATGATAATGGGGAGGGTTTTTTTTGCTATTTTACTCTGAGAATAATTATGGTGTAAAGCACAATGATGGAACAGTTTCCAAAATACTTTCAAGAAATTTTTCTACACTGTTTCCTATCCTAACATGAAGTAGGCAGTGCTGGATTTGGTTCTAAACAAAAAGTAGGCCAAGTGGCTCCAGTATCAATTGGAGACAATAGTCAGAAGACTATGATCCTAGTTTAGATTTCTAATGGAAAAAAAGGACAAGGACAAGGACAGATCCCAGAGCAAAAGGAACTAGTTGGTCCTTCTCCAATTTAAAGGGTTAAAAACTGATTTGACCTAGGCTCATTGTAATCAAAGATAAGCAAAAATGAGTTGCCTAAAAAGCTGAAGCATTCTCTCTGGGTGGAGAAAAGGTAGAACACAATTATCATTTCCAGTGGTGAAAATAGAAAAGATGAGCAAAAGGGTACATTTTAGAGATATCAGGTTAAAGTACGAGGAAGCTAAACAAAAGAAATTCCGAGGGCAGATAAGAAAGGAAATGAGTAGCAAAGAGAATGAGATGAATCTAGCAGCCAACATAAAAGATATTTTTTTAAGATTCTCTTTTATGATCCCAGCTGATGTATGATCCCACACTGTAATCTGGCTCAATGGGTCATGTTTTTATTTATTGAAGTGGTCTTTCACTGAAATACAAGCATGCAATGCTCGAGGTTTTTTAACAATAAAATGTAAAATAATTGCTTAAGAGAAACAATGCCAAAATAGACTGCACCAAACTTCTTGGCTCTTGTCACCAACTCCTATTGCTTCCCTCGTATGAACACCCCCTATCTACTAGGGGCCATATAAAGCCAAGAAAATGCCACACAGAATGCTCTTCAAATGATGCCGAGGGGGACACCAGTAATTTCTGTTATGGTGGCTAGGTTGGGATATGACATTTAGTACCTCTGTTCCTGAGCTATGGATATCACCAGCAAGAACAGCATTTGTTTCCTGTTCCTTTTTGCCTTGTGCTGAATCCTTGCTAGGCTATTTACAGAGCAATTAAAAGTCAACTACATTTTATATGGGTCTGAAGTCATATGTCCCACAACCGTAGGAGACACCCATGACATTGGATTGCTCTCACCCTTGGGCTTTGAGCAAGTGTGGAAATTATTAAAATATTAATGGGTAAATGAATATATATTTGTCTAGGTCTGAAGTTCAGCGTGACTTGTGAAACCCCTTGATTAAACACTCTTTGCTAGCATGTCACTTCCAGCCTTTCAAATTGGAGCTTTCCAAGTTCTTTTGTTGGGGGGAAGGGGGTGCTCCTTTTTTGCATTTCAGAGAATCAAGTGCTATGTATTTATGTAATGTGCATTCTATTCACAAAGTAGCTCATGAGGGAAACATTACTATTTAACCATGGCTTAACAAATGTACTGAGAACATAGCTGATTTGTAGTGTATTGTAGCATGGTTCTGCATGCAATTTTGCATGTAAGTCATTGTTTATGACCTAGAAAATCATGATTTTCTTTAGGTCCCAAGACGCGAATCAGTTCTCCCAAGGAATGGGATTGCAAAGGAAAGTAAGTTCAATTTTATATAAAAGTTCTAACTAATGTATGGTTTGCTTGATTGTTACTTTGGAGAGAAAGTTAACAACCCTCAAGTTAAAACAATTTTGTGACTAACGTTTTTGTTAAAATAGATAGAATATGATCCATGCAAGGAAGATGTTAAATTATTCTATTAATTCATTGAATATTTTAGTTTGAGAAACCAAGAAAGAAATTGTTTTTGGGGGAGGGAGGAATAGATACAGGAGAAGGGTGCGTAGTGATGGAATAGTCTATTAAATTCAGAAGGCCACTCTTTAGAACAATTCATTGGCTGCTGTTGGACTGAACAAAAGAAAAACAAGTAATTTTATTTGTAACTTGAAAATGGTAGCATTTTCATGGAAAGGCTTGTATAATTTGAAAATCGATGGAGTAAAAATAAAAACTCCACAGTTGGAGTTGTGTACAGGCCCCCAAACAGTCAGGAGCTGGGGTGCAAGATGCACCAGGAGATAGAAAAGGTGTGTAAGAATGGCAAAGTCACAGTGACCATGGGGGATTTCAATATGCAGATGGACTAGGAAAATCATGTTGGTAGTGGATTGCAAGTAAAGGAGTTTGTGGATTGTCTACAAGATGGCTTTTTGGAGCAGCTTGTGGTGGAGCCCACAAGGGAACAGGCTTTAGTGTTGAGCAATGAGGCAGACTTGATAAGGGAGCTTAAGGTAAAGGAATCCTTAGGTGGCAGTGATCATAAGATGATAGAATTTACTCTGCAATTTGAAAGGGAGAAGATAGAATCAGAGGTAACGGCATTACAGCTGAATAAAGGTGGCTAGAGGTATGAGGGAGGAGCTGGGCAAAATTGACTGGAAGAGGAGCCTAGCAGGAAAGACAGTGGAACAGCAATGGCAGGAGTTTCTGGGAGTAATTCAGGAGACGCAGCAAAAATTCATTCCCGAGGAAAAAGAAGCATGGTACAGGGAGAACGAGGCAACCATGGCTGACTAAGGAAGTCCGGGATAGTATAGAAGCAAATGAGAAAGTGTATAATGTGACAAAGGGCGGTGGGAAGCCAGAGGACTAGGAAGCCTACAAAGACCAACAGAGGGCAACAAAAAAGAAGTAAGGAGGGAGAAGATTATACATGAGGGTAAGCTAGCCAGTAATATAAATGAAGACTGTAAGAGTTTCTTTAGATATATAAAGGGCAAAAGTGGACATTGGACCACTGGAAAATGACAGTGAGGAGATAGTAGTGGGGAACAAGGAAATGGCTGAGGAACTGAATAATTACTTTGTATCAGTCTTCACAGTGGAAGACACTAGTAATCTCCCAAAAATTCAAGAGTCAAGGGGCAGAGCTGAGTATGATGGCTATCACCCAAGGAAAAGGTGCCAGTAAAACTGATTGGCCTGAAGGTGGATAAATCACCTGGACCAGATGGACTACCACCCCAGAATTCTAAGAGACAGCTGAAGAGATAGTGGAAGTGTTAGTGGTGATCTTTTAGGAATTGCTCGGGTCAGGGAGGGTCCCAGAGGACTGGAAAATCGCTAACATGACACCCCTGTTTAAAAAGGGAGTAAGGCAAAAGATGGAAAATTACAGGCAGATTAGCCTAACCTCAGTCTTGGGTAAGATTTTGGAGTCCATTGTAAAGGACGAGATTTCTGAATATTTGGAAGTGTATGGTAAAGTAGGGCAAGGTTAGCATGGTTTCATCAAAGGGAGGTCATGCTCAAAATCTGCTAGAATTCTTTTGAGAAAGTAATGAGCAGGGTAGACCAAGGAGAACCAATGGATGTTATCTACCTGGACTTCAAGAAGGCCTTTGACAAGGTGCTGCACAGGAGATTGCTAAGTAAGACAAGGGCCCATGGTGTTAGAGGCAAGGTGCGAGCATGGACAGAAGATTGGTTGTCTGGCAGACAGCCAAGAGAGTGGGGATAAAAGGGTCTTTTTCAGATGGCAGCCTGTGACAAGTGGTGTTCCGCAAGGGTCAGTGTTGGGACCACAACTTTTCACTTTATACATTAAAGATCTAGATGAAGGAACTGTGGGCATTCTGGCGGAGTTTGCAGACGATACAAAGATAGATGGAGGGGCGTTAGTATGGAGGAGGTGGGGAGGCTGCAGAAGGATTTGGACAGGTAAGGAGAGTGGGCAAAGAAGTGGCAGATGGAGTACAACGTGGGAAAGTGCAAGGTCATGCACTTTGGTAAGAAGAATAAAAGCACGGGCTATTTTTTTTCTAAATGGGGAGAAAATTCAGAAGTCTGAAATGCAAAGAGACTTGAGTTCTAGTCCAGAATTCTCTCAAGGTAAACTTGCAGGTTGAGTCAGTAGTCAGGAAGGCAATGCAATGTTGGCATTTATTTTGAGGACTTGAATATAAAAGCAGGGATGTACTACTGAGGCTCTACAAGGCTCTGGTCCGGCCACAGTTAGAGTATTGAGTGCAGTTTTGGGCCCCATATTTCAGGAAGGATGTACTGGCCCTGGAGTGGGTTCAGAGGAGGTTCATGAGAATGGTCCCAGGAATGGAAAGCTTAGCATATGAGAAACGTTTGAGGGCTCTGGGACTATACTCATTGGAGTTTAGAAGGATGAGGGGGAGGAGCTAATTGAAACTTTCAGAATGCTGAATGGCCTGGACGGAGTGGATGTTGGGAAGATACTTCCATTGGTAGGAGAGACTAGGACCCGAGGGCACGGCCTTGGAATAAAGGGAAGACCTTTTTTAGAATGGAGATAAGGAGAAACTTCTTCAGCCAGAGAGTGGAGAATCTATGGAATTCCAGTGCCTCAGAAGGCTGTGGAGGCCAGATCATTGAGTACATTTAAGACGGTGATAGATAGGTTCTTGACTATCAAGGGTTACGGGGAGAAAGCAGGAGAATGTTCCTCAAACCCAATCAGCTATGATTGATGGTGGAGCAGACTCGATGGGCTGAATGGCCTAATTTCTGCTTCTATGTCTTATGGAGTATTTAAGCACTCCAAAAGATCCAAGTTCTTATCTGCCAATCTTTGACTGCTGGAGCTTTATCTCTGCTGTCAGATGGCAACAGTTGCTTTTCAGATTTAGATATGGATTTTTAATCTTTCATGTGACATGCTGTACAAAGATGAGCTCTGGCCTTGTAAGACCTTTATCACACTTATTAGTTCATTTTAATCTTGCACGTGAAGCAACTTCAAGTGATGATGCCTTCCCAAACGAAGTTGCATCTCGCATGAAAATAACCATTGAAAGCTGATCAATTGTTTGTATACAAGCAAACTGGATTTGGGGCAGGGATGGAAGGCAGCTGGTGAACTCTTATATTCAATCTAATGAAGCTTTTTTAAAAAAATTTGACACTGATATTTCAGAGCCTGTGCTTGATTCTGATTCTGATGTTCCAGGTAATATTTACTTTCTGCATTTTCTCTTGATCTGGATACAGAATAACACACCTAGTCATTTTGAGCATTTTCAAATGCTGTGTGGCTTTCACTTAAAACATTGCTTTTAAAACGTTGAGCTACCCTGGGTAGGCACAAATCTCTTGTTGAACAGCTTCTTTCAGTTATACCTAATGCTGCTCTTGAAGTGCAGCAGCTTGCTGGGAATGCAGTATCTCTAAACATCTTCAGAAATCACATGTTTATAAGCCACTTCAACTATCAATACTTCATAAAACATTAGGATATAAGTTGGGGTCAACTGTTGTAAGGTGATCAGATGGCACGCAAAGGGCACCAATTCTTCCCCATAACTGTGGGGAAGCTGGTGAAATAGGAACATGTGGAAAAAAGGATGGTGACCAGCTTACAGTGGCATTGGGTGGGAGAAAGTTCTTGCAATAGGTCATTTTTCTGTGTGCAGTTCTGCATTTTGGGAATAAAATTTAGATTTGGTTCAAAAATGTCTTCGTAGAAGAGGCACTCAAAACCAAGGAAATTGGCCTATCAGTTTTCTTGCAGATGTTGGCAAACATGCTTTGGAAACTACATGGTTATAATATAGAGGATTGCTACTTTGTTAAAATTGAAGTTGCATTTTGGATCATTTATAAGTCTCTGCATCTTGAGCCAAAAAGGGTTGAAGAACTCAAACTATTTCAGGCTATTATTTCTAAAAGAAATTCTGGTTGGAATATTATTTAAAAACAACTAATTTTTCATTTTACCAGAAAAATTCCACTGTCAATGCTCCTGTAATCTGGTAATAATTCTGGGTGCACCTGTTTCAACACGTTGTAGGTTGCATGCTGCCTATTCACTCTAGGGTAATTGAGCGGCCACTGGGTTATTTGATTTGACTTGTAAGGTTTAAAATTTTACAGCAGAACAAGAATGTGAGAGTTTAACTTTTTATCCTTTTTCCTTAAGTACCGCGCTCGACTCGTTCAAGAACACAAGCCACATTGGAAATGCAAATTATGCCCAATTCTAGACTATCTGAAGTAGAACCTGTAATGTACAAGAATATTTCCACAGGTAAGACTTTTTTGTTAAAAATATTAACACTTTTTTTTTAGGATTAACCCATTCTATTGGTTTGGAATGATATTGAGATGGACATTTAATTTTTTGAGGTGAAAATGTTTGCCATATTTGTAGCTTTTTTTTCCCTTTTGAGTGAGTAATGTTTATATCTCTCAGTAAGTTCCATTACTTTTTTTTAAAAAAATCTGTTCCCATGACATTGGAGGAATTCAAATCCATGCCACCAGAGCATTGCTTTTGATTCACTCATCCAGTGATAAGACCACTACACCACTGCATACCCAGAACCCTACCATTCTAAACACTAGTAGATGCAAGCCTAATTTGTCCAATCTTTCCCCATATGACAACCTGATCAATCCAGTTATTAGTCTAATAAACCTTCTCTGAACTGCTCTCGGCACAATTTGTCCATTTCAGGAAATGTAATTAATTACGTACACTATCTCCAGATGTGATCTCATCAATGCCTTGTATAACTGAAACGTATAACCCCTTTTATTTTTGTTTGTTTCTTCTGATGTTGAAGGATAGAAATTCATTAGCTGACTTGATCACTTTCTGTACCTGTGTCATCACTTATTTGTACATTGTACAGAACGCTTAGGTCCCTCCACCTTGGGATTTTGCACTTGTCCATGTCATGGTGGTGAGTGGCTTGGAGGAGAACTTGCAGGTGGTGCTGTTCCCATGTATCTACTGCTGTCTTCCTTCTAGATGGAAGTGGTCATGGGTTTAAAGGTGCTGTCAAAGAATCTTTGGTGATTTTTCTGCAGTGCATCTTGTTGACAGTAAACACTGTTACTGAGCATTGGTGCTAAAGAAGTGGATGTCTGTCGATGTTTTGCAATGAAATGGGCTGCTTTGTCTTGGATTGTGTCAACGCTTGTATTGTTGGAGCTGCACCTATCCAGGCTGCGGGGAGGGGGGATGTGGGGGTGCGGTGGTGGTGGTGGTGGTGGTGCAGGTATTCTATCACATTCCTGCCTTGTGTGATGTAGATGGTGGGCAGGCTTTAGGGAGTCAGGAGGTGAGTTACTTTGTGCTGTATTCCTAGCCTTTGGCCTGCTGTTGTAGCCACTACTTGTGTTTCAGGTCAATGGTAACCCCAAGGATGTTGATGTGGAATTCAGTGACGGTAACATCATTGAATGTCAAGGAGTGGTGATGAGATGATCGTTGCCAGGCATTTGTGTGGTGCAAATGTTACTTGCCACTTGTCAGCCCAAGCCTAAATACTGTCCAGATCTTGTTGCATTTGAAAATACTTTTAAATAATACTCTACTTTTCTTTCTTTCTGCCTATGTTAACAACAACATGTTTTCCCACGTCAAATTCCATCAGCCAACTGTATGCCCAGTCACCGAATTTATCCATATTGGTCTGCATCTTTGTTCTGTCACCTTCACAAAATATTTTCCTATTTATCTTGCGTCATCTGAAATTTAATCACTATGCCTTTGTTTCCTTCATCAAATTTGTTAACATAAATTGTAAACGGTTGAGGACTATTAGTGTGGGACCCACCCGACCTGACTAATATCGCGAGAAAGCCCTGTTTAAGCATAATCTGTCTTCTACCTTCCAGCCAATAATATCCATGCTGGTGAGTTACCGTCTACACCACGAGCTTCTAGTTTGTGCAGTAACCTTTTTATGTGAACTTTGTCAAATGCCTTCTGCAAATCTAAGAACAGTACAACAGTGGGTTCCCCAACAACTCAAAAATACCCATGGCCCTCTGGAACCTTCTTCCCCTCCCCTTCCCTCTGACTCCATCCCCTCCACCAACCCCACCTCCTGTCGGGTATTCACCGTTCCTCCTAACCTTCCGCTCTCCATTGCTGACTGCTCTGTACTCAGCAAAGGCCTCGGCTTTATTCCTCTGCGTCCCCACCGTAACGAATTTCGGGCATGACATGAGGCTGAACTCTTGCTCCGGCTCCGTGCTCGTTTCTTTGGGCAAGAGTCTTCTTCCCATCCCACAGACCATTTTGCCCAGTTCCAACACTCTTCCCTCCACCTGGACCTGTCCCTCTGGTCTTTTACCTGCACTTGATCTTTTCATTTGAGAACTGTCGATGTAACATTAGTCACCTCAATTTCTCAGCCCTTCTCACCAAATCCAACCTATCTCCCTCCGAACTGACTGCCCTCCGTGCACTCGGATCCAACCCTGACTTTGTCGTCAAGCCTGCTGATAAGGGTGCTGTTGTAGTCTGGTGTACTGACCTCGACCTTGCAGAGGCTGAGTGCCAGCTCTCAGATACCTCCTCCTACCTTCCTCTGGACCATGACCCCACCATGGCACATCAGGCCATTGTATCCACTGCAGTTACTGATTTCATTTCATCTGGGGATTTCCCCCCCAACCCCCGCTTCCAAGCTTATAGTTCCCCAAGCCCGCACAGCTCATTTCTAGCTCCTGCCAAAAATCCACAAACGGGTCTCTCCGGGCAGACCCATTGTTTCAGCCTGCTCATGCCCTACAGAACTCATTTCTTCCTACCTTGACTCAGTATTCTCTCCCCCCCTCCAACCCCCCCCCCCCCCCACCCCCCCACCCCGGTCCAATCCCTACCCACATACATCCATCTGATCCCTTAGGCCGGTTTCATAACTTCCAGTTTACTGGCTCCAGCCACCTGCTTTTTACCATAGATGTGCAATCCCTTTACATGTCCATCACCCCCCCCCAGGAGGGTCTTAGGGCTCTCCACTTCTTCCTGCAGCAAAGACCTGAACCATCCCCACCCACCACCACTCTCCTCCGCTTGGCCGATCTTGTCCTCACCCTCAAGAACTTCTTCTCTTTCAACTCCTCTCAACCTCTTCAGGTAAGAGTAGTTGCCATGGGTACACGCATGGGCCCTAGTTATGCCTGTCTCTTCATGGGGTACATAGAACATTCCTTGTTCCAGTACTATTCCGGCCCCCACCCACAACTCTTTCTCCGATACATTGATATCATCGGTGCTGCTTGCCTCTCTCATCTGGAATTGGAAAACTTCATCAATTTCGCCTCCAATTTCCACCCTGCCCTCACTTTCACCTGGTCTATCTCCTGACTCCTCCCTTCCTTCCTCGACATCTGTTTCCATTTCTGGGGATAGACTGGCCACTAATATTCACTACAAACCCACTGACTCCCACAGCTACCTGGACTATATATCCTCACACCCCACTTCCCGTAAAGACTCATCCCATTTTCTCAGTTCCTCTCTCTCTCCATCGCATATGTTCAGATGGCTAACTTCGACAAGGGAGCCTCCGAAATGTCCACCTTCCTCAACCGAGGATTCCCCAGCCCTGTTGTCGACAGGGCCCTCAACCAGGTCCACATTATCTCCCCCACTTCCGCCCTCACCCCTTCTCTTCCTTCCCACAGCATCAATAAAGTTCCCCTTCTCCTCACCTACCATCCCACCAGCATCCACATCCAGAAGATCCTCCGCCATTTCCGCCACCTCCAGCGAGTTACCACCACCAGACACATACCCCTCCCCTCCCTTGTCCGCCTTCCGCAGGGACCGTTCCCTCCGGGACACCCTGGTCCACACTTCCTTCACCCCCAGCACCTCCCCACAGCCCTACGGCACCTTCCCCTGTAACCGGCAAAGGTGCAACATCTGTCCATGTACCTCTTCCCTCCCCAGTATCCAAGGGCCCAAACATACCTTCCAGGTAAAGCAGCACTTCACCTGCACTTCCCAGAATCTATTCTGCTGCATTTGTTACACTCAAATGTGGTCTCTACATTGGGGAAACGAAGTGTAGACTTGGCAACCGCTTCACAGAACATCTACATTCTGCTCGCAAAAAGACCCTGAACTACCTGTTGCCTGCTACTTCAACGCATCACCCTGCTCCCTGGCCAACATCTGTCTCTGGCTTGCAGCAGTGTTCCAGCGAAGCCCAACGCAAGCTGGAGGAACAACACCTCATTTTCCACTTGGGGACCCTACCGCCCTCTGGACTCTCGAGTTCAATAATTTTGGGGCCTAAACTCTCCCATGTCCCAGCCTCCTACCCCACACACCAGGTCTTGTTACCACATAGCCTGCCATTACACACCCCCTGTTGTTAGTGACTAACAGTCCCCATTAACAACTATTCACCCTCCCAGCCTGATCGTTAGCAACTCCTTTGTCTGTCTAACTGTCTTTGGGCTCCGTCCTATTGTTTACTCCCTACCCCACCTACCTCCCTATTTTCTGCATATAAACTGACGTTTTCCCAGCCATCATTTGTTCTGAAGAAGGGTTGCCGGACCCGAAACGTTAACTGTTTTTTCCCTTCACAGATGCTGCCAGACCTGCTGAGCTTCTCCAGCAATTTTGTTTTTGTTCCTGATTTACAGCATCCGCAGTTCTTTCGGTTTTTATCCCCTTTTATCAATGGTGTATGTTCCTTCTTCAAAGAATTTCCTAAATTGGTTAATCATTAAACCATGCTGATTCGTCTTGATTTCCCTTGACTTTTAAAAAGTGCCTGATTTATAGTCACTTTAATCAATTCCAAAACTTTCACCAAGAGAGACATCAAACTAATTGGCCAATGTTTTTCTGTTTTCGGGCTCACTTCCTTCTTTGGTCAGAGTTGTATTTGTTACTTCCTAGTCTGATGGAACTTTCCCAGAATCTAGCTAATTTTGGGAAATTAACACCTGTACATCATCTACCTCATTTTAGTCACCTTTTCAGACCTTCAGATGAATTCCATCGGGACCTGGCAACTTATCAACTCTTCGCTCCTTCAGCTTGTGTAGTATGGCTTCTCTAATTATTTACAATTTTATCAATTCCTCTCTTCCTTCAACCTCCTGATTTACAGCTATTACTTGATGTCATTCTCTGCCATTTGTTTATATTCTGATCGGTCATCTGATCTGAGATTCATCTTTATCAAACTTCAGCATATGCTTTTATTAACACTGGTGTGTGCTCCCCTTGGAATTTTTCTTTATAGTTGGTATAGTACATAATCTGAAATATGCTTTTTTTTTTAAACAAAAGTTTGCTACCACTTCTCTATTGATTTATGCCTTGTGTGGGGCACTTTTTTTAACATGGGAATGCTGGTGGATATTCGGACAAATTGTGGTCCTTGACAGGACGTGGATCCCGTTCCATTGGCAAGGAAACCCCAACAACTGAGGATCTCCATTCGTTCACTGTCATGACCGTTGAAAGCACACACATCTTCTGCCTTACATGCCATTGTTTTGAATTGAGCTTTGTCAGGTTCCTCTTCTCCACGACTGCAAGGTTAGATGGCCCTGCTGGAGTTGAGAACACTACCACCTGACAACATTGTTCTCTAGATCAATAAAATGCTCTGGCCTCTCTCCCACAGCAAGGTGGCAGTCCACAGAAAGGAAGATTTCCAGCAGATTTTCAAATTGAAGGAACAGAGCTTACTGGTCATCTTCACCAATTGTTCCTAGACATCTGGGACAAAGAAGAAATCCCCGCTGACCTCTGGGGTGCTGCCATTGCCATCGTATTCAAGAAAGAAGACTAGAATGTTGGAATGACCCAAAAATCTCCATTTCCAGGAAGATCCTTACCCAGATCTTTGCCGGGTGCCTCTCCCAGTCTGAGGAAATATTTCTGGAAGGGCAGTGGCTTCTGACCACACTGGAACCGTGGACATGGTTTTCACTGCTTGATGGCTCCGAGAAATGCCAGGAACACACTAACCACCTTGCATGGCTTTTTTTTTTTGTCAATCTGATCAAGTCCTTTGACTGACTGTAATTAGTTGGGAAGTGCTATGGAAATCCTGTCAAAGGCAGGCCTTTCAGAGAAATTAACGAACATCCTCTGTTACCTGCATGACGATGTTGGTGACGATAATATGACAGGTTGCCTTGAGGTAAAGACGAGTCAAGCAGAAATCTGTCATCATCCCCATCCTTTTTCTCCTCCATACTGTTCATCAAGAACAAACTTCACAATGGTGTGGATAAAATCCAAAACCTAATGCCCCACCTGTTATCCATTTTAATCCCTCAATTGTCCATACTTCATCTTGAATCCACCCTCTTTCCCCGAAACTTTAATGTTCAGTTATGTTACGGTTGCTGACTCTTCACTGAAATCATTAATTCAACCTGTTCTTTTGGCTCCAGAATGTAGTGTTCTCATAAAATATGCCAAAAAGATTTCTCTTAACTCCTCATTTTGGTAGTCTTTTGTCTATCTAAATTTTTCCCAATCTATACATGCAAATTAAAATCCTCTGATTATCTTCTACCTTTCCAAGGCCTTGAATACCTTTTTATAGCCAAAGGAACAGGTTGTAGAACACTTTTGATGATGGAACTGGCATTGTTTAACAGTATTTGATTGTCGGTATTTAAAGCAGTCGATTTAATTCCAAACAGTGGCATTTCTTTTGCTTTGCAGCACTGTTTAGATTGAGTCTTGTAGTCAAACTTCTGTTCCATCAATCTTGAAAATGTTGATGTTTTGTATGGTGTTGCTTTCTATAAAACCAGCGGAGTGAATTGAAATTTTAGCAGGGGCGGGATATTTGAACAACTGTGCAAGACAAACCAATTGCTGTTGGGTAGGGAGGTATTGAGATTAGTCCTGCATCTTTTCCTTTTTGAAAAAATACCTTTTTACATTATTGCATGTGCATTAGCAAATATTGGTTTAAAGTGTTACTAATGTCACAAGATATTTACATTTCAGGCAACTAAGGTCACTAGTCTATCATCTAGCAATGAATAGGTTTTGCATTGTCTTTATAGGAAGAAAATCTGTATGTGTAAGAGAAACTGAAAAGCTGAAGAAACAACGTGAAGATAGGCGAACTCAGTTGCAGGAGATAAGAGAAAAACGTGGACAGGTAAGAACCCAATTACCACAAGTCCAAACATAGAATAAATCTCAATGTTTAATTATTTTAAAGCTCTTTTTTAAAATGGCTGTTAGTAATTCAAATCTTAGTTTCTGGGTAGTGGGCATCCATTTCAATGTTTAAAATGAGGACTATTTAGCTGCCATTGCACATTATTTTATTTGTCTATCTATCTGTTTATTTCTGTCTCTATTTTTACATTGCAAATGGGAATGTCAGGCATGGTTCTCTGCTTTGAGTGTATTTCTCTTTGGTATTACATTTAGTTCTTTTCTTTTTTGTGCAATTCTGAAGCAGTACACAAGCTACACAATTTCCGAGTTGATTTTCAATCGAATGTTTGATTATACCCTACTCCTGCATCAAAAATTGTCTTTCTATTTAGTGTGGTTTTTTTTTAAATTTCAATCTTTTTTTTTATTTTTGCCTCATTGGAAAAATGTTGAATCCAGGCATAATACTTGTCTGTTTCATTTTGAGCTTAATTATTGATTCTGAACATTTTTGTTTGCATCTTTAATGGGATACGGGCATCATTGATTAGGCTATTGTTTGTTGCCTTTAAAGGTGATTGTGAGTGTAGGTATACCACAGTGCTAAAGAGTTCTAGGATTTTGACCCAGTGACTGAACTAACAGTCATCTAGTTCTAGTCCAGAAAGTGCCTGGCTACAGGTATGTGTTAACGTGTATCTGCTTGCCTTGTCCTCCTATGTGGTGGAAGTCTTTGGTTTTGGAAGAAGCCGTCAAAAGCATTGATAAGTTGTTGTGGTTCATCTTTGTACATGGTATTACTGTTATCATGCTGTGCCAATTGTACTACTTTGACCTGGTTGTTTTCAAGCTTCCTGAGTGGTGTTGGAACCACACTCATCCAGGCAAATGGAGAGTATTTCATCACACTTCTGGTTCCTGCCTTTTTTTTTTGATAGATGATAAACATGCTTCAGGGATCTAGAAAGTGAGTTGGTCACCACATAATACCCAGTCTCTGACCTGTTGTAGCTGTATAGATGGTCCATTTTGCTTTTTTTTTCTTTTTGTTTTTTTTTCTCTGGTCAATGGCAACCCTGAGATGGTTGGTTAGTTCTGGAAGATTCAGAGATGGTAATGCCATTCAGTGTAGTGAGGTGAAAATTCTCTTTTGTTGGAGGTGACCATTTCCTGGCACATTAGGAATGAATGTTGTTTTCCACTTACCAGCCAACCATAGAAACGTAGGAGCAGGAAGAGGCTATTTGGCCCTTCAAGCCTGCTGTGCTATTCTTCACGATCACGGCTGATTGTTCAACTCAATAGCCTGATCCTGCTTTCTCCCTGTAACCTTTGATCCCATTCACCCCAAGTGCTATATCTCATCACCTCTTGAATATATTCAAATGTTTTTGCATCAACTATTTCCTGTGGTAATGAATTCCAAAGAGTGGTCAGCCTGTGGGTGAAGAAATGTCTCCTCGTCTCTGTCCTGACTCCTCCTCCTCCTGTGACGGACACACCTACCATCTCCCTGCATTCAACCTATCTGGTCCTGTTAGAATTTTATAATTCTGAGATCTCTCTCTCTCTCTCTCTCTCTCTCTCTCTCTCTCTCTCTCTCTCT